TCATAGGTCAACACTCAACCACTGAGCCACGCCGGACAGGCTAGACATGATTTTTTTTTATCTAGATTATCCTAAATTAGTTAGAATGAGGGGTATTATAGAAGATTCTCATAGAATTCAAATTCTAAAATAAAAAAGCAAAGAAAGTTTGAAAAGTTATTCCTAAGCAGCTCAATGCTTTCTTCAAAGTTCATATGATTATCATGGACAATATGAGTTGTTGTAATTTGAGCAACTTAATTTTTATGTAAACCAAAACATACCTGTATTAGTCTTCTAGGGCTGCCATAATAAGATACCATGAATTAGGTGGCGTGAACAACAGAAATGTATTTCTCACAATTCTGGATGGTAAAAGTCCGAGATCATGGTATAGGCAGGTTTGCTTTTCCCTGAGGTAGGCCTCTCTTCCTTGACGTGCAGGTGGCCACCTTCTTATTGTGTTCTTCATGTGGCCTTTCCTTTGTGCTTGCACAGACCTTGTGTCATTTCTTATTCTTTTAAGGATACCAGTCATACTGAAGTTGGGCCCCATTCTGATGACCTCATTTAACCTTAATTATCTCTTTAAAAGACCCATCTCCAAAGTCACCTTGCGGATCAGGATTTCAACATATGAATTTTGAGGGAAGACAATTGCGTCCAAAGAAGCATACATATGTATAAAGTCATCTGTAATATTGGGTTACATATTATAATGGATTGGCAGCATTTTCCCCCTCACTGATATATAAAAACATGTTTCTTCTGATAGTTGGATACATCTTAGATTGAGGGAAACATGGTAGCTTAGAAAACAAATAGTGTTGAAAGCTTTCTAACAAGAAGTAACAGTCTCCAGCCCCAGCTTTCTCCACCATCCACAGTTCCTGTTGGCAAATCATTTTTAAATATTTAGGTGTTGTTTGTCTAAGTTAAGAAATAATAATTATAAGTATATTTTTATTTAAGTCAATAATTAGTTATATACATACAACTATGGCAAAACCAAAGAATTTGATTCACTTTTCTCATATAAAATCTTATTTTCTGTACTTAAAAAGTATCTGAGTTTTCATTTTTTATTTATTTAAAAATTGTTTTCCTTAAATTTTCAAACTGCTCCACCAGTTTTATCATACCATCACTCACTTTTCCCCAATGCTGACACAAATAGGGTAATGCACCAAGGCTCCTTTTTCTCTGGAGATTTTCTTGCAGACTCCCATGCCTTTGTTCTCTGCATGGTGTTCTCTGTCTCAACTACAGCCCTCTAAAAAGGTGTATCTCCTATTAGATCTCTAACTTACCCCTCCTCTTCTATTATCACTTATATTTTAGCAACTTCCTAAGAAAGAGTACACAGGAAGAATATTTTCCAAGAACTTCTATGATTGAAAAGTCTTCTTTTCGTCCTTGCACTTAATTAATTGGGGTACATATAATTCTAGATTGAAAGTCATTTTTCTTCAGAATTTTAAAATTATTGCTCTAATGTCATCCAGAAACTTGAGGAGCCCGATGCCCTTCTGCTGCTCATTCCTGTGTTTACGACCTCTTTTCCTAACTGGAGCTCTCTTCTCTCTCTGATGCTCCAAATGTCATGTTACTGTGCCATGGTGAAGGATTAGGTACCAGGAACTGTAGCAGAGAAGAGAAAGTAGCAAGTAATTAGAATGAAGTCAAAAGAACAGGCAAGATCATACAGGTCATGTTAAGGATTTTGGATTTCATCCTAACTGTATGAAAACCCACAGGAAAAATTTAAGCAGAAGAGTAATATTGAATTTGCATTTACATAAGATCACCCTGACTATTAGGTGTGTGACAGGTTGTAGATGGGCAAGAGTGGAAACAGGAAGACCAGAATTTAATATGTTGTTGCAGATAGTATTGTTTAAAAATTATGATTTGGATTAGAACGATGGCAGTGGCTATGGAGAGAAGCAAGTTAATTTACAATAAATTTTGGAAATAAAATCTAGAGAATTTAATAATATATTTGAAGATAGGGCAAAAGACAGGGGACCCCAGATTTCTGCCTTGAGTACATAAAGGTACTAGAGGAGGTGATACCGAAGAGTGAAGGATAAAAAGTAGCAGAAAAGACCCATTTGTGTATACTCCTCTTTGAAACCTTCCCTTAGACATTCTCTAACTGTAATTTTACTCCTTTTTTTTTCTTGCCCCCACATGCAAATATTTTTTAAAATATATTTTTATTACTTTCAGAAAGGTAGAGAGAGAGAGAGAGAGAGATCAATATTGAGAGATAATCATCGATTGGATGCCTCCTGCATGCCCCCAATGGGGATCAAGGCCACAACCCAGGCATGTGTCCTGACTGGGTATTGAGCAGTGACCTCCTGGTTTATAGGTCAACACTAACCACTGAGCACAGTTGGGCTAAATGCAAAGATTTTTTAAGGCATCGCTTAGGTGTTATTTTCTTTCCTTCCTCAATCATTTCTCAATTTTACCTGACCCTAAATTCCAACTTTATGTAGATGATTCATTTATCTTTCCCTCTTGACTCAACCAATGTTCTGACCTATGATTCACATTTTCAATTGTTTTCTGAGCACTGCTCTCTAGATTACCCTTTTGTACCTCTAACTCAACTTAAAATCAAATTCATTTTCTCCATGTCTACTGTGGTTCTTATTTGTATTGTTGTCACTACCATCTTCCCAAACAGCTGGACTTATAGTCAACATTGACATCTGCTGCTTCCATGTTCCTTGCTTCAGATGCTATGGTTTTATCAGTGGAATCTTGTGTTTGTACTCTCTGTATTTTCTGAAAGTAAATGTCCTGATTATAAGTCAAGCCCCCATTGTACTTTACCAAGATTATTTTTAACATCCTAACTATCTTTCAACCTTCAGTATCTTTCCTATTCTATCAACCAGCACATGGCCTTTAGAGTAATAATTTCAAATGAAAATTTTAATCTTTTCCTGTGTGTCTAATATCTTCAATGATTCCATCATTGTCAGAGTAATTTCAAAATTCCTTAAAAGTATATTAAATGCCTCTTATGATCTGACCCTGATTTATGTTCTCCTCTGATTCCCAACAATTTGAGTTTCTCACCATTTTGAAAATTTGACATTCACAACTCTGCTTTTGCTTATGCGATTTGTGCTGCCTTCACCTCTTCCTATTGAAACCCTTCTTCCTTTAAAGCATAAAATGATTCCTCTCACTTCTCCATCTAGAAATAACTTCTTCCTCTTATATTCCCTAACATAACATAAGTCTGCGATGACTGAAAATAGATATTGCTCATCTTATATCCCCCAACTGTACCTAGTGTAATGCCTTGCATATAGCAACAACAGAGCAAATATTAAATTGAATTGACCTATTAGCTCTTTCTGATGAGTCTGTAATGTGCCAAGTAATCTAGAAAAATGCAATTATGTGATGAATTTGGCCTTAAAGGGGGATCATACTGAAATTCATGTTTTTTATATGACCTATTTACAAAACCAAAATCTCTACTTCATTATGAATGGGCCTTTATGAAATAATTAAAATAATAATAAATAAATAATCTCTCAAATTTTCTAACCTATTCATATTTCTTCCCTTTTATATGCCTTCTATTTCTTGGAAACTCAGTAAAGAACGGACTATTATTGATACATTTAAATGCTGAGATATAATAAAAAAAATACCTACCAGTTTCTCTATCAAACAAAACAAACACTAGGTTGATTTTTCTGAATTGAAAACTTTGTCTTATCTGAAATTTTATGCAAGTTAGCAAGATGTGACTATCTCTAAATTTCAACTAAATTCCACTGAGCTAAATTTTGCCTATGCTTTAACAATGGAATTAAGTCCAGTTATATGAATGATAAATTGAGAAATGGAATGGTTGCAATAGACATAAACTGTAACAAATCTATAACAAAATCTCTACTCATTTTCAACCAAAATTTCCTAGACAATTCCTTAAAAGTAAAAGAGAAAGCTGCTTCCATTTATATACTTTACCTAGTTAATTCACCTTTAATATTTTTTTCCCTAAACAGAAGTTTCTAGTCTTTAATTCTCTAATAGCTGCTTTACTTTTTCTGCAAAGATTAGAGAAATATCAGACAACTGAAGACTGATAATGCTTGCAGATTATTTCAAAAGCATTTTAAAAATAACTCTTAAAAACTTATGAGGAGATCATTTTATTTTAAATGCACCCTACATCATTTTTTATTTCTATATAGCTAAAATAGTTATCAAAAGTGACATCTCTTACCTGAGGATAAAAGTTCAAAACTATTGCTTTAGCTTTAATAATAATTGCTACTAATTGCTACCAGGAACTGTTATAATAATACCAGTCCATTATCTTATTTAAATAGCCCAGTTCCTGAGTTGGTTAGAGCATCATCCCGATACACCAAGGTTCCCAGTTCGATCCCCTGTCAGAGTACATATAAGCAACAAACAATGGATGCATAAATAAGTGGAACAACAAATCGATCTCTCTCCTCTCTTTCTCTCTCTCTCTCATTGTCCCCTCGGGAGTTTGACTGGGAGACGGGAAGTTCAACCACCTGCTATGACATGTGCTGACCACCAGGGGGGTGGCACAGAACGAAGGAAGGCCCTGGCCAGCAGCCGGAAGGCCCCGATCGGCCCTGATCACTGGCCAGGCCTAGGGACCCTACCCGTGCACAAATTTTGTGCACTGGGCCTCTAGTTTAATAAATAAATTTCATAGCCTCCCTATAAGTAATCATCATTAACCCTATCTTAGAGCTGAAGAAAGTTATAATGAGGTTAAATAATTTGCCTGAGGTCATATGACCAGTAAGTCAGGAAATAGGGAGGCAATGCAGCCACAGCCTACTGGAGCCTCTGCAAAGGATGGTCAGCCAGCACCTGAATGTTTAAGGGGGGGGGGGGGGGGAATGTTGAGGAAACATTCCCTAGAGTTAATGTGTAAGAAATGCTATGGCCACTTGGGTTCTTTCTTTAATATTTTTTTCTTTTGCAATCCTCTCCTTCAGTGGCTGGACAACTTTCTGCTGCATTGTCTGTGATGGTAGCTGGCTTCTTTGAAATACACAGAAAACACTTCCCTCCAGTGGAGCAGCTTCGTTCAGGCAAAATTCTCACCGTTTCCTCCATGCCCTGTTTCCACCTGGTTCTTCAGTACGTTTTACTTGGAGTGGCTGAAACACTGGTTAACCCAGCCTGTGAGTAACAAATTTATCACCTCATGTTAGGATACACTGAATTTCTACACAGAACACATCACCTCAAGTAGCTGGCAATCTAGTCACTGCCTGGAAATTTCCCATGTTTCAGAAGAAGCCAATTTATCCCCCTCTTTTTTTTTAATGTTTAATTTTTCTTCATTCCTCTATCACATACAGAACAATTATTAATTCTACCTGAACGTAAATGAAATGAAAGATTTTACTAACCTCATTCAAAGCAGTAACCATTTGGTCAGATAGGTGAAAGGAGAAAAAACTTTGCTAAAACTTAGAAGAAAACTCCAATACACTCAGATGAAAACTCTTCTCTTCTACCTTCCCTTTTCTCATCTCCCTCCCTCTCACTCAGAGATAAATTCACATGTATACTCCCTCCAAAAATGACATTTATAATGTAGTTTGAGAGCCTATGCAAATGAAATGAAAATTAGGCAATTTTCCAGATAATTCAATGTCTTTAAACTAGATTGTGATCATTAGTGTTTCATAAGACAGGTTCAAAATAACTTTATTAAATATCCAGGTTTTCTGGATTGTCTAGATGGCTGTTATTAACTAAACTAGTCACTTTAAAATTCATTAAAATATTTCAGTGACTTCTTGAAATACAGTAGTGTGTGAAATACAGTATGAGTACATTTATCAGTGTAATCTATTGTCTTATATTCTGTCTTCCTTATACTGCCTTGAAGTGGGAACTCTGTAACTCAAGCCCAATTATACTTCACCAAGCTTATTTTTATAACTTCCTATCTTTCTCATTTTAATATCTCTCACATTCTATCTACTCAATACACAACCTTTAAAGTAATCATCCTAAATGGCAATTCTAATCATTTCATTGTATCTAAAACTTTAATTACTCTATTATCTTCAGAATTATTTTCAAATTTCTTAACTATATATGTTTAATAAAGATATCTATAATAATAAAAGCATAATATGCTAACTAGACTGGACGACCTATCGGACGAAGCCGGGGCTGTGAGGGAAGCCTGCGTCCTAGGTGCCAGAGGGAAGCCGGTGCCAGCAGCAGGGGGAAAGAAGGCCTACTCCTACACGAATTTAGTGCATTGGGCATTTATATATATACTAGAGGCCCGGTGCACAAAAATTTGTGCACTCGGGGGGGAGGGAGGTCCCCCAGCCCGGCCTGTGCCCTCTCGCAGTCTGAGACCCCTCGGGAGATAACGACCTGCTGGCTTAGGCCTGCTCCCAGGTGGTAGAGGGCACGCCCAATCCCTAGGTGCAGCCCCTGGTCAGGCTCAGAGCAGGGCCGATTGGGGAGTTGGGGCGCTGCCCCCTGTCATGCACAGAGCAGGGCGGATCGGGAGGTTGCGATGCCACCCTCAGTCACTCTCAGGGTACAGCCAATTGGGGGGTTGGGGCACCGCCCCCTGTCACACTCAAGGCAGGGTCGATGGGGAGTTGCGGCGCCACCCCCTGTCACGCACAGAGCAGGGCCAATCAGGGGGTTGGGGCACTGCCCCCTGTCACTCACAGAGCAGGGCCCATCAGGGGGGTTGGGGCTCCGTACCCTGTCACACACAGAGCA